CTGACTAAAGTGCGCGCGCTCAGAGGTAGGCAGGTGGCGACGCACAGCAAGACGTGCAGCAGCATCGCGCGTGGCCCACTGGGAGCGAACAGTGGGGTCAGCATCAGCAGCAGGGGCAGGAGTGGCGCCAGAGGTGAGGTCAAAGAGGGAGAGACCGTCTGCCCTATCGCACTGTAAGAAGAGCTGCAGGTCATCTACCCAAACCTCAAAGTCAATGGCTCGACCCTCAGCGTCAAAAGCGAGAACACTAGGGGAAGCCATGACAGCAGTAGACTAGCGAGACCAACTGTAGGACAGGGGCAGTGCAGTGACAGAAGCGCTAGTCTCACCAGACAAGGCAAGTCGGGCAGCTCAGTAGTGCAGTAACACGGCACCACGGCTGCTCGGACGGCTCAGTAGCGACTGCGGCTCCGCGGCACCGGCGACTCGGCTGATCAGGCGGCTCGGGCGGCTCGGGCGGCTCGGGCGGCTCGGGCGGCTCGGGTGGCTCAGGCGGCTCGGGCGACTCGGGCGGCTCGGGTGGCTCGGGCGGCTCGGGCTGTTGTGGCAGCTCGGGCGGTGTAGGGCGGCAGGGCCGCTGGTGAAGGGTGGCGGGGCCGCTGAGTAGGGCGGCGGGGCCGCAGGAGTAGGGCGGCGGGGCCGCAGGAGTAGGTCGGCGGGGCCGCAGGAGGAGGGCGGCGGGGCCGCAGGAGTAGGGTGGCGGGGCCGCAGGAGTAGGGCGGCGGGGCCGCAGGAGTAGGGCGGCGGGTCCGCAGGAGTAGGGCGGCAGGGGCTGGTGCAGAAGGGCGGCGAGGCCGCTGAGCAGGGCGGCGGGGCCGCGAGGTAGGGCGACGGGGCCGCGAGGTAGGGCGGTGGGGCCGCGTGGGCGGCGGGGCCGCGAGGTAGGGCGGCGGGGCCGAGAGGTAGGGCGGCGGGGCCGCGAGGTAGGGCGGCGGGGCCGCGAGGTAGGGCGGCGGGGCCGCGAGGTAGGGCGGCGGGGCCGCGAGGTAGGGCGACGGGGCCGCGAGGTAGGGCGGCGGGGCCGCGAGGTAGGGCGGCGGGGCCGCGAGGTAGGGCGGCGGGGCCGCGAGGTAGGGCGGCAGGGCCGCGAGGTGGGGATGCGGGGCCGCGAGGTAGGGCGGCGGGGCCGCGAGGTAGGGCGGCGGGGCCGCGAGGTAGGGCGGCGGGGCCGCGAGGTAGGGCGGCGGGGCCGCGAGGTAGGGCGGCGGGGCCGCGAGGTAGGGCGGCGGGGCCGCGAGGTAGGGCGGCGGGGCCGCGACGACGGGCGGCGGGACCGAAGCGACGGGCGGCGGGGCCGAGGCGACGTGCAGCGGGGCCGCTAGGGGAAAGGGCCGCTAGGGCGGCTCGACGAAGTGCGACTGAGGCGGAGCGCGCTTCGGGCAGGAAAAAAAAAAGGTCGATGTGGTGGGCCCTAGGCACAGTTCCCACGGGGGAGCCTGCTCGATACCATGAGAAGATGAGAACGAGAACGAATGACTAAGGAATGGAAGTGATACAAATATGCAACCCTAGAAATGTGTACCCCATATGGGCTACCCCACTATAGCCTACAAAATATTATAATTTGACATATTTCACGGTGTCGTGGATGACCGTGGCGACGCCGAAACGGGAGCACCGCACCACATGGTGAGGTACCGTCATATCGTCGATCGCCTGCCCACAAGAACACCGACTTGCGAGGGCTAGTTGGGGGATAGGGAGGTCGAGACGGAAAGCTGAGGCCACCTGCCACTGCGCCTCTGGGATGCGCAGCGAGTCTGCGTACGGAACCGCCGTCAACCATGCGCCTGCACCTGCGCCCTGAAGGGATGTCAAACGGGCAAGGTGCAAGGGGTTAGTGTGACGGGCCCGGACTGACTCCAAGGCCCGCGCCTCCAAGACGCGGCTCACTCTCCTGTGAAAAGAGAATCAGGGCCAGCAGAGATACGTGGGAGGCCCTCCAGCACCGTACGCAGTGATCGATCGATCTGGTCCACATCATCCAATGCAAAGCTCTGTCGGAAGACCGCGCCGCACACTGGGAGGGAGCAAAGGATCGGCGCGCACTGTACCAAAAAACCACGCATAACTCACCGGGGCAATACGCTCCATGCGTCGGATGCCAAAACCCCCTACGTATGGGGAGGTAGATTTGGTCCAGGGCAGCCTCACGAACGTCCTCTCTGCAAGTCCAAGTCCCAGGCACCAGGAGCTGCTAAAAGGTCTCTCCCAACCGCTCATCCCACCGTGCAAAACTGGCACATACAGCCAGGGTCGGAGGGACCGTCCTCGCCAGATACTGCGGTCGCGTGTTGACGCATGCCGAAAGTAGACGGGCCGCTGTCTGGGGCTGGCGTAGTCTCGGAAGCCATGGCAACACGCGCCCCATCCTCTCTAGACGCTCAGGTAGGCTCCTCTCCACAAAAGCGTCAGAGCCCACCGGCACTCCCGTGATGGTGAGTCCTCTGCTAGCGACCTCAATCCCCAGACTCGTGAAGACCTCCGCCTCCCTGGAAGTCACAAAATCCCTGCCGTAGATGAGACACTTGTGTGGCTGGACCGCAAGGCCCAGATCCCGCAAGTGCCTCACAATCTCTGCGAAGTGGTGTAGCACCCTGGAAGGAGGGCCCAGCACGTATGTGTCATCTGCGTATGACCATAGCTAGACATCGCCCTCAGCTAGAACTGGCTGTAGAGCCATGTGCTGTGTGAGAGCATACAGGAAAGGGCTGAGCGGGTTGCCCTGGCGGGTCCTGCGCTCCGAGTGTATGGTGGTCACCCCTCCGTTCGCCCGGTAAAGGAGATCGGAGGGTGTCCCGTAGAAAAGGCGAATAAAAGGAATAAGACAGAGGAACTCAGCACTATTGTAGAGGGCCTGAAATATGGTGTCTCGATGAAACGAGTTAAAGGCGTTCGCCACGTCCAGCTGAAGAACCACCCAGTCAGGGTGGTCATCCAGGGCACGACGAACGCCTCTAACCACGACCTCTGTCCCACATGTAACGCCCACCCCAAACTGCTGTGACGCTAGGAAAACCCTAGCCATCTGGTCCCGAAGCTGCAAGCATACTGCGCGAGAAAGGATGCGAATCAAAATCTCACCTATCGCGATAGGACGCACATCCAGGTTCGGTTTCGCGAGAGTGACCAGGGTGGACGATGCCAATAGCGATCGAGCTGCCGGGGCGCAGTAGCCTCGCAGCCAAAGCTGGTACACGACGAGTAGGCTAGGGAGGCTCTGTCAAAATTAGAAGGAAGAAAGAGGGTTGAACTAGCAAGAATGAGGATACAAATAGCAAACCCTAGAAGGGTTGTACTCGCTATAGAGCACCCCACTACAGGCTAGAACAATAAGATAATATTCTGACACACCCCCATAGCCAAAGTGGGGTGTAATCAGCAGAGCAGGCAAAGCAAAACAAGCTCAGGGTGGATCACAATGTCACCACACATTCTGAGCACAAGTTCAAGAAGAAATAGTTTAGAGTTCACAATTACAAGCAAAGCTAGTGGTAGTCACAACGGGCAAGTGAGGAGGAGGAGGGAGAGTGAGGGGAGAGGAGACAGGAGGCGACGGCTGAAGCTGCAGACACACGGGCAACAGGAGGCAGACTGGCACAGCGGCTACCGGACAGCGCCCGGACTACAGGAGTAACAGGCCCCGCGGCTCAAATAGCGGCGGACGGGCAACGGACCCACGGGCGGCTGGCACAGCTGGCTACGACTGGGCTACCGGGACAGCGCCCCGGACTACAGGTGCTGCTGACGACAAACTGGCAACCTCCGCTCATCCTCCCGCACACAGTCCCACCCCCCTGATACACACCCACTGCTACACCACTAGCTCTACTCCCACGCACCCCCCTTAAACCCTAAACCCAGTCTCCCACACAACCACCCCCCTCAGCGACAGCTGCAGCAGTGGGAGACGAAGGAGGAGGAGGAGAAAGGGAGGAAGGCACACCGACCACCCCCATACCCGCCACCCCACAGCTTGCGGCCCCCTCAGGTCGCCTCGACAGACGACGGGAAATGGGAGGGAGGGGGGGGGGGGTGTGGAGGAAAGGGCCCACCACGGACCTGATTGGAGGGCGGAGCCGCGACAAGGGGCGGGGCCGCAACGAGTGGCGGGGCCGCGACGGTCAGGGCGGGGCCGCGACAGGTAGGGCGGGGCCGCGAAGGTAGGGCGGGGCCGCAACGGTCGGGGCGGGGCCGCGACGTAGGGCGGGGCCGCTTCGAGGGGCGGGGCCGCGACACAGGGCGGGGCCGCGACGTAGGGCGGGGCCGCGACGAGGGGCGGGGCCGCGACGAGGGGCGGGGCCGCGACGGTCGGGCAGGGCCGCGACGGTCGGGCAGGGCCGCGACGTAGGGCGGGGCCGCAACGGTCGGGCAGGGCCGCTTCGAGGGGCGGGGCCGCGACACAGGGCGGGGCCGCGACGAGGGGCAGGGCCGCGACGTAGGGTGGGGCCGCGACGGTCGGGCAGGGCCGCGACGTAGGGCGGGGCCGCGACGTAGAGCAGACGCCCGCCGCGCGCCCCGGGGCGCACAGCGGGCAAAGAACCGCCGCGCGCCCCGGGGCGCACGGCGGGCAGAAAACCGCCGCGCGCCTCGGGGCGCACGGCGGGAAGGAAAACCGCCGCGCGCCTCGGGGCGCACGGCGGGAAGGAAAGGTAGCAGCGGAAGCGAGGTGGAAACCCACCCACAGGATCGATCCAAGGGGATCGACCTGCTCTGATACCATGTCAAAATTAGAAGGAAGAAAGAGGGTTGAACTAGCAAGAATGAGGATACAAATAGCAAACCCTAGAAGGGTTGTACTCGCTATAGAGCACCCCACTACAGGCTAGAACAATAAGATAATATTCTGACAGGCTCTCAGGAAAGGCAAGGAAGGTATCTCGAAGATGCTCGGCAACCCAGCCTGTCGGTTCTCCAGACGACCCGCGCGGGGCTGTGAAGATGGCGCGGCGGAGGTGATCTATAGAGAGCACAAGGGCAGTATCCTGGAAAGTTGGTAGCTAATCTGGAGTCGGTCGCTCTGCGACGGGATGCTTGCTCCGCAGACGTTGCATCGTACTCTCCGTGTCAGGTGCCGCCTCTGCCGACTCCAGAGCCGCGCAGGCCCGCGAGGTCTCATTGCAAGCCGCCAGACGCAGGTAGCGGGCAATGCGACGGTCATCCGGTGTGGGGGAGAAAGTGCTAGCGCGAGCTCCTCGTGCTGCTTGTAAAGGAAGGGGAGTACGTCGCTGTAGGGCCGCAGAGATGAGCTCATGCCACTCACCTCGTCCAAAGCGGATGATGCGCGCTGCAATGACGGCCGTGTTTGAACGCTCTGGCGATGTCGCCGGAGCCAGTAGGAGCGTCGGTGCCGCCGCCAAGAGGAGAGTAGGGCCTGGTGCCTCTGGGTCCTGGGAGACACGCGCTAAGATGGCGCAGAGGATGTCTAGATACCCACCACGGTCCCTCGGGGGGATACTGTCAAACTATATATGTGCTAGTTCTGTGTATGCTTTAGTGGGGTAGCCCATATGGGGTACAACCCAAAGTTAGGGTTAGTACTTGTACACATATTTCATTCAATGCAATCATTCCTGCTTGCTATCTTGATAGATACGCCAAAGAGGACGGGCATGAATGCGCTCCAGGGCAAAGTACTCCGACCACCGAACGGAGTCAAGCGTACGCCACTGTGCATCTGTGAATTGCATCCCCTAGGCTCGGGGCTCTGCTAGGGAAGGTGGAGCTGAGGCCCTGTCGCGGAGGGCCTGCGCCCTGTGAGCTGCGTCGGCAGGGTGGCAGAAAGGCATGTAGTGTCGGAGTGCTCGGCGGTTCGCGAGGGAGCTCAAGCATGTGGGGCACTTCACGACCTCGTCTGGTGACGTCGCTGTGTCGGTGGGATCGGTCGTGGCCGTGCCCTCAGAACTATCTGCCGTGGTGATAGGTGGGGCTGATGACGGGGATGGGTGGGGTGAGGCAGGCCAGAGTGGTAACTACTTCTGCGTCAAAGGCGCACGGTCTGAGGATCAGATCGGTCTCCATCGGAGAAGGGTGAAAGGGTTCCTGCAGGATGGGGGCTGCAAGAGGGAGGTCCATGAGGGGGGCTTCGACGGCATGTACCACTGGGGTCCGGGGAGTGGGAGTAGAGAGGGGTATGCCAGTGTTCTGTATCGCCAGCAAGTCAGATACAAGCATATTACCTGTTGCTATGCAAACACATCACACACATGACGCTTTGGTACAGGCACAGCATATTACTGACTGTTATACAAGCACATCACATGCTGTGATTATGTGATACAAGCATGTTATCCATTGCTATGCAAGCACATCACACCTCGATATACAAGCACGCAACTCTTTGCTATGCTCATGAATATCACACCTTGGTGCCAAACGGAATCAATACTTTGGTAACACCATGCGCAACGAAATACGGCCCAGCGTACATCCTCGGAGTAATAATTGTCGTCCATTTAACTGCTGGTGCAGTTTGCGACGTCCCAAAAGACACCCTCGGAACATTTAATGGAGTCCTCTTATAAAGAGTCTGCTTCAATTGAGTACCCACGGCCTCCCCTGGCTTCAGCACTTTAAGCTGTGGCATATAGCGTTTTATGCGTAAGATGTGGAAAGCTGCGATTTGGTAGAACTTGGGAAAGTTGGATCTTTTAAAGGGGAGCTTCTCAAAGAGGGCTTCTGAATCGGTATTAATGGGGATGAGGATGGTGGCGTTGGCTAGAGCAGATAGGTCATACTTCGAATTCACTGTAGGGAGGGGGGATGGGGAAAGAGGGAGGAGGGATTATAGTGGGTGTTGATTGGGGTGGGGAGTAATTTGTTCTTTTCAAAAATCAATTCTGCATTTCCTAACTAATGCATAAACTCAACTTGTTTCAAAAGTCACTCGTTAGGTTCGGAATCAGAAATGCCGAAATGCCTTGTAAGACAATGGATGGCACGGGTACTTCGCCATGCTCCGATACTTTAATAGTCATCGCAAGAGCTGTTACTACACTCCAACGCGAGCCCTTGTAAATCGCGTACCGGCCCACCAAGGATACATGATCTTAGGGACATCCGATACTATAGCAACGCGTTACATGTGAGGCCAAAGCCACTTACTTGCGAGGCCAAAAAAGTTGTTGACGGTGCTCGTGAAATTCGAGTATCGTGGGCGTTTCTTCGCCACGCTCTCCGCCAGCTTCCCAAGCTCCGCCTTCAGTTGCTCCTTCGTCGGACGCGCGATTGCCGCTTCCGCCACACGCGGCGCGAAGCTCGCTAGACAGAGGAGAGCTGCGAGAACCGCGACGATAAGAACCCGTTTTTCCATAGTCGTGAAACGGAATCAATTATCTAGACTGTGATGAATACTTATTTTCTTCCGCCAGTTTCGAGCTGCGGATTTTGGACTGCTGCTTCCACTGAAAGTAGTCGGTTCAACCGTCGGAGTGGGCTGAAAGTCTCGAGAAACCTGGAACTTCCTGAAATCAGAGCGAAGTGGTTTTCTGATTTCTAGAATTCGGTAGAGCAGGTTGACAACCCGTTCCGACTACGTACGAACATCGCAGGATGTTCCGTTTATAGTGGAGGACAAGAACAACCTTCAGCGCGCCGCACTGCCAGTGCTACTAATATATGCTGCTCCGATGCTCTGCGCTGCGCGGCGGTTGCGCTGCACTGTCCAGGTCCAAGCGTCTCAACGGGAGGCAAGCAGGATTTTCATCACTCCCAGTCCCGCCGAGCTGAGTACCACCTGCATTGAGCGACATTCGCGTCGCGTCGCACGAGAGAGGAGAGACTGCGTGGTTCGAGTCGCCATTCTACAGTAAACGACGTTACATGCTGTCAGCAAGTTTCACGCGGGCAGCGCTGTCGGAGAGGGAAAGAAGCAGTCAGCGCGGTTGACAGACCCAGACCAGAGAGCAAATGGGAGGAAAAAAACAATCAGAACGAAGGCGGTGTTCGCCAGCACATGTGAGATTGGAAGAGAAAGGAAGGCGTCGGACTGGCAACGGCATCAGGAAGCGGGGCCAGAACCCTCCGAAGAGGTCTGGGCGAAATGCCGCTCGCGAAATTTTGGGCCTTGAAACGGGAAACTTTACAACCGCATATGGAACCTGTCTCCCCACCTTCCCCCCAATTGGCCCAACAGCCAATTACAGCGCCAACCCACATGGTGGATTGCCATCGGATGGCATGAGACGGGACGTTTGCCCGGGGAGGAAATCACATCCCCATTTCCAAATGCCATGTTTCCATCCGATAATTGAGAAAATTGTGGGCGTTCGCCAGGCACCAGAGATTGCATTAGGATCGGACGGCATCCTAGCTTCGGCAGGAATTTTACGGGCTGACCAGGCTGACGGAGCTTAACGAACCCTAGCTGACGGGATCAGGAAGGCGTGACTGACCTTCCTGATCCCGTCGTTTTGCTTTCATAGGTGCTGGCGAACACCGCCGAAATGGAAAGAAAGCTTTGCTGCTGATCGGGTTTGGCCTCCCTTGGCTTGGCGGTCCTGGTGGAGTGTGGGACTGAGGCTGTGTTCCTCCTTTTGCTTAGGGATAGGCTGGTGGTGGTGGGGCTGGGGCTCTTGCACTCGATCCAACGATTGGAAATGGTTGGGTTGGGATGTGGCCGGCCAGTCGGGTGGGGGGGCTTCTGCTCCGGCCGACATGGCGGCCAAAAGGGAGAGCACGAGGGTAGAGGCGACCCTGAGGGCACGTTTTGAAGGCGAATAGTGCGGGCTGTTGCGTTCTCGAAGAAGTTAAAATTCACCATCTGGAATACCACCCAGATTTCAGGGCCTTGCAACTCCTTTTCTGATACCCCAAAAAACTTCGTAAGGCTTCAGGCATTTCTGACAAACTGCCCGCCAACAAATATGGGTGCTTGTCGAAGTGCTGGCCGGGCTGAACGACAACGACGATTCGCCAAGCGGCGCCGAAACTCGGAGAGACTCACGACAAGTGTACTTAAGACATGGACGTCTTTCGTGACGAATCACGATGGAGGTAATGGAGGCTGGGGTCAGCGACTAGAGGTCAGCAAAGCACCTACACTAATGAGAACAGGATACCTTGTCTACATAACCTATTTATAAAATAGTCCAGTAAGCATGATGACTACAGCTTTTCTGAAAACGATTATACCCAAGGACAGCATCTACCACGCTATCCTCGAATTTAATGGAAGAAATCTTCCATAACCATCAACTCCAAGCTCTCGGGTGTATGCAAGTAGTGTTTGGATGTGATCAAATCGTCCCTGTGAATTTAAAGGACGGGAGAGCATGGGTGCATGATTTGCTCGCGAATCACCCTCAGATGGATACCCTTCAACTGCTGCAAGTTAACTCACCTATTGCATAAAGATGGATGGCAGAGACAAGCAAGTTACCGTAAGTGCTCATGGTACCATCAACCGCATATAAAACCAGCAAATTCCAGTGTGGCTGCGGCAGCTTGCGGTATCGGTCCTCGAGGCAAGCAGCTCAGGCAGTACAAACCAACACTCAGTACTAGCGCACATACCCCAGGGCAGCAGTGGATTGGGGTAACTACAAAACAGAACACATACCAGCGAGGCTGCAGCAGCTTGCGGCATCGGTCCTTGAGGCAAGCTGCCCATGCGGTGCAGACTCACACTCATTACTAGCACACATACCTGGATGCAAAAGAGAGCACATACCAGCGAGGCTGCAGCAGCTTGCGATATCGGTCCTTGAGGCAAGCAGCCCATGCGGTGCAGACGAACACATACAAGCACACAGTGACAGGGCAACATGTTAACACCTTGTCAGCAGCACATACCAGCGAGGCTGCAGCAGCTTGCGGTATCGGTCCTTGAGGCAAGCAGCCCATGCGGTGCAGACGCGCAGTCGCAGTGCAGCATCTGGGATGGCCCACCGCTTCTGTGCCTCCACCAGCTCCTCCATCGCCCTGTTGAACGCCCTCAGCCTGCCATGCATGGCGTGGAAATGGGTGAAGAGCGGTACGGAGTGATGAGACATGGTGAGATACTATGGCCCACCGTTTCTGCACCTCCACCAGCTCCTCCATCGCCTTGTTGAGCGCCCTCAGCATGCCACACATCATGGCATGTGGGATGGTATGCGTGATGTCATGGATGATGGCATGTGTAATGCCATGCCATGTGTCATGCCATGCATGATGGCATGTGCAACGGCATGGCATTTAAGTCGACATGGCATGCGTGAAACTGACGTGGGAGACGGGACATGCACACACACAAGGACCGAATCACGCACCAAGCTGCAGGGAGTTTTTGAGAATTCTTTAAAACTCCCTGACTTGGGGGACGGGACATGCACACACACAAGGACCGAATCACGCACCGAGCTCTCACCTGAGCACCTCGCTCATGGCCAGCACCTCATGATGGTCCCATCCGCATGGGAGAAGGACCAGAGGAACGCGAGCCAGTCCCTTGGAAGAGAAAATGCCCTAGTGGGATGGGAAAATGGGTGCAAGGGAGCAAACCCACCTGCACACCAGGCTCTCACCTGAGCACCTTGCTCATGGCCAGCACCTCGTGATGGCCCCAAGTTGAGTGGGAGAAGGGCTACAGGGACTAACGCCTTAAGAGCGAAAATGTTTTGTGGGATGAGACAATAACGGCAAATGAGGGAAACTAGTCACATTCCAAGCCCTCACACCAGGCTCTCACCTGAGCAGCTCGCTCATAGCCAGCACCTCGTGATTTCCCCCATCCCATGCACTCACATCTGCAATGCCAGCGACTCGTGATCGCCCCCCCCCCATCACAGCCTCACCTGAGCAGCTCGCTCATAGCCAGCACCTCGTGGTCGCCCCCGTCCGCGTGGGAGAAGGACCACAGGGAAACGAGAAGGGACTAATGCTGAGATGAGACAATAGCTGCAAGTGAGGGAAACGAGTCACATTCCAAGCCCTCACACCAGACTCTCACCTGAGCAGCTTGCTCATAGCCAGCAGCACCTCATGGTCGCCCCTGCATCCCATGCACTCGCATGTGCACTAACATTGTCCTTAGGCACCCCATCCCATCCTTTTGAGGCGCCTCAAAAGTCCTTAGGTACCCCATCCCATCCTCACACCACGCTCTCACCTGAGCAGCTCGCTCATAGCCAGCACCTCGTGGTCGCCCCCGTCTGAGTGGGAGAAAGGCCAGAGGGACGATGCAGGCTTGGTGCACTCCGGGACAAAGTCAAGGGGCCGAGGGCGGTCTGACATGGCTGCTACTACCTGAATTACAGAGAGGAGAGTTAGGGAGAAACGGAGAGAGAGAAGGGAGGGAATGGAGAGGAAGTGGGACAAGGCAGGCTTGGTGAAGTGAATGCAGGGACGAAGTCTAGCGGCCACGGGGGGTCTGACATGGCTGCTACTGCCTGGAGCAACGATAAGAGGGCGGGAATTTTTGTTTTTAGCCTCCATCGAAACTTCATAGTAACCATCAGAACAAAACCAGAGTGCACAACATAAAAACCCTTCTGAAAGAGAGAGGGAAAGAATCACAGCACAACAAAACACAAACAGCCCTTCAGGCGAAAGAAATTCTTATAATAATTAAAAAAACACGCAAAGAGCCTTGCACGCCTTGCTGAGAGCGCAGGTCTGGAAGGCAGCTACATGCTTCTGATGGACGCTCCCATCGATAAACGTTGAGAAGGACTCAGGACATGCCTACTCGTTGATCCAAGGGGGCTCACACACCCACCTTGCTGAGAGCGCAGGTCTGGAAGGCAGCTACCTGCTTCTGAAGCAAGGGAAAGCAGCCTACAGGAGTCATGTCCATATAAGCAACCAAACGAGTGTATGCTTACTCGCCAACCCAGATAGAATGACCAATGAAAGTGAGTGGCAGGGGTGAGTGTGACACACCTTGCTGAGAGCGCAGGTCTGGAAGGCAGCCACGTGCTTCTGAAGGGTACTCCCATCGATGAACGTGGACAGGGCTAGAGCCAGCTCCAACCTGCCGTTCCTGTGGTGAATGTGATTGTAAAGACATTCTCATGCGTAATAGCATTGTTTGAGAATTGAACGCACAAAGCACGAGGCAAATGCACCAAATACTCTTAATTACTTGGCATGAGGCATGAGGCATGAGGCATGAGGCATGAGGCATGAGGCACGAGGCATGAAGCATGAAGCATGAGGCATGAGGCATGAGGCATGAGGCATGAGGCATGAGGCATGAGGCATGAGGCATGAGGCACGAGGCATGAAGCATGAAGCATGAGGCATGAGGCATGAGGCATGAGGCATGAGGCATGAGGCATGAGGCGAGGCATGAGGCATGAGGCATGAGGCATGAGGCATGAGGCATGAGAAGCATTACCCCTTGGCATCAGCAAAAGCCTGTTGGAGCCCCCCTTGCCTCCACCCTCCCCACGAGTTCCTGGGACGGGCGAAAAGGGTAAGGCACACAGATGGAGAAATCGGCAGAAGGTAAAAATAGGCCAGAAGGGAGAAAAACGCAGAAGGGAGGAATAGGCAAAAGGTAGAAATGGGCAGAAGGAAGAAAGTCAGAAGAATGCTCGCACGCAAAATTACTGCGGACATTTGCAGAGCGACTTACATGGACTGCATAAGGTAGTGTAGATTGTTCATCTGGTATAGCTCTCTCATGGCTGCATCCTCAATATAAGCTGCTCTCTTATCCAAATACTCCCTCAGCGAGACAACCAGCACACCCACGAGCAGCTCCACACTCACTCTCTCACTCCCTCCCCCCAGCATGCCCTCAAACACCCCTCCTCCTCCTCTCTCTCCTGCTGTATTGCTATCTAGACTCAGCCTGGGAGGGGTTTTCCGACCACCTGTCCCCTTCCCTCTCTCTCCTCCTCCTCCTCCTCCTCCTCCTCCTCCTCCTCCTCCTCCTCCTCCTCCTCCTCCTCCTCCTCCTCCTCCTCCTCCTCCTCCTCCTCCTCCCCCTGCCACTGCTGCTGCTCTTGTCTCGTGTAAGGCCTTCCGTGCTGCTGCCTCTGCTGCCGCCTCTGTTGCTACCTCTGCTGCTGCCTCTGCTGCTGATGTGTGTTGATGGGAGGAGCGGGAGGGGGAGGAGGAGGAAGGGGAGGGAGGCATGCGGCTGCTGCGGTTGATAAGGGTACAGGCAGTTGCCAAGGTAGCAGCATAGTTGCGACGACCTGACCTGAAAAGATGGGAATGGGAGGGGAGAGTGGTTTTTGAAAGCCTCCAAAAATTATTGATGAACGTGCAGGCAGCACTCATAGGGAGAGGAAGCAGCACTCACGGGGAGAGGAAGCTTTGTATGAAGTTACACACGTAGCTTGTAATCGGGTCCACGCCTCCTCCAGGTGGTGCTGCAGAGCTCCCGCCACCTGGCGCGTCGCTATTGGCCAGCACTGACGCGTCTGAGGCCCGGCGAGTGAGCGCCCTGACTGCCCCACGCACTCTCGGGCTCACAAGAGCCGCTGCTGTAGCACCGAACGCGGCTGTAGCGCCCAGGGCAGCTGCAGCACCCCACCTTGGACTAGCAGGTGTGGCACCCTGGGTGGCTGTGGCACCTAAAGCGCCTGTAGCGCCCCATCTTGGGCTGGAAGCTGTAGCACCGCCAACACGGGGGCTAGCGGCTGTAGCACCATGCGGTGGACTGGTGCTGCCAGGGACTGCAACGCTGGGCCTGGCCTTGGGGCTGGCGGCTGTAGCACCGAACCTGGGGCTAGATACTGCAGCTCTTTCTCTCGGGCTGTAGGGTGTAGCACTTGACGCCATAGCTGACTTACTCTTCCTGCCATCCCTAGTCCCCCCAACCCGCTCTCCCTCTCCCCCCTCCCCTCCTCTCCCTCCTCCTCTCTCTCCTCCTTTCTCCCCTCCTCCCCCCCCTGCACTTCCGTCTAATGTGGTGAGGCTACCGGCTCGAACGATGCAGCTGTGCATGGCCTGCAGTGACTGTAGCGAGGCGAGGGAGAGGGTGAGCGGGAGTGACTGTAACGAGCGCCACTCTGAGTGCAGGCCCACGCTGCAAAGGTCCTCCTGCAGCTGTGGAGGAGGGGGGCAGTGGGGAAGACGTGGAGCAGGGAGAAGGGGGGAGCAGGTGCAGGGGAGCGGGTGAGCGAGAGTGACTGCAACGAGCACCATTCAGTATAGAGGCTCACGTAGCAAAGGTGCTCCTCCAGCTGATGATGCCATGCCATGGGGGGAAGCGTGAGAGAGGGACTGGGCGTGTGAGAGACCCAATGCCAGGGAGTCCTCCTACCCCAGATGACCCTACCCCGGATGAGGCTACCCCAGATGACCCTACCCCAGATGACCCTATTCCAGATGACCCTACCCCAGATGACCCTATCCCAGATGACCCTACCCCAGATGACCCTACCCCAGATGACCTACCTCAGGCATAACCTCCTGCAGCGCCTGCAGCATATCCAGCAGCGAGAACAGCTGCTGGGGCAGGCCGCGGCGACAGATGGCGGCAGCTGATTGGGCGAGAGAGTGCAGGGAGGAGATGACGTGGCCGTCATTGAGGAGGGCGGAGAGGAGGGTGTGGAGGAGGGGGGTGTGGGCAGGGGTGGATGGTGGGAGGATGTCCTCCAGGCACTGCCGCTCCATGCCCCACACCACACCCACCTGCAATGGGAGGGCGAGAGAAGAGAAGAAGGGAGAGGGGTGCAGAGAAGCGAGATTTGTGGAAGGGAGGGGATAAAGCCAGCTCGTTTTAAGCACTGCTCCATGCACACGGGGGTTTCAGCCGGCCCAATAAGGAAGGAGGAGATGAGATGACGTGGCCGTCTTGGAGGAGAGCGGAGAGGAGGGTGTGGAGGAGGGGGGTGTGGGCAGGGGTGGATGGGGGGAGGATGTCCTCTATGCACTGCCGCTCCATGCCCCACACCACGCCTACCTGCAATGGGAGGGTTAAATGAGGAAGGGGGTACGTGGGGTGAGGTGAGTGGGATGGGGCAATGTGTCAAACACCCCTGCTGCCCGCCTCTCATGCCTCTCTCATGCCTCTCTCACCCCTCTCACACCTCTCGCCTCTCTCACCCCTCTCACCCCTCTAACTTCTCTCGTGCCTCGTCTCTCACCAGAAGGTACACGTGCTGAGCCCACTGCTTGCTGGTGAGCTCCGGGTCGTTGTTAGGAAATTCGACTTCTTGCTCTCTAAATCAGCAGTCTAATCTCACCAGCAAGTATACGTGCCCCTCTCCTCTCCTGTCTCTCACCAGCAGGTACACGTGCTGAGCCCACTGCTTGCTGGTGAGCTCCAGGTCGCTCCATCCCATGCTGCCCACTGCTGCTGCTTCCGCCGCCCCACCATCCAAGTGGCTGTTCAAAGACTCCACAGCCTGCTTCAGGAAGCTGCTGCGTACTTTTCTGGAAGGACGGAAGAAACAAGATACACCTAATGATACGTTGTGTTTTGTTGGTATTAAGCCATCCATCCCACGTGTATGACATAAAACAGCAACATTTTACCATCATAGATAAAGAAGAAGCAAAGAGAACAAACCATACCACCACCATCTCACCTGTACGTCTCCACAAGCTGTGAGCCACCCCCTGCTGCCACCATCCTGCTGCAGATCTCCCCGGCCAATCGCAGCGCGTTATCCGGAAGGAGCTCAGGCATCAGCATGTCCACGTTGGCACCATGCTCCACGTCAGCAGCAATGTGCTTGGGTGCACCATTCCCACCAATCCCACTTCCAGAACTACCACTTGCTGCTGCTGCTGCTGCTGCTACAGCACCATCACCAGGTGCACCAGCATCAGTACCATCTCCAGCAGCTAAAGCAGCATCACCACCACCATCATCACCAGTAGCAGCTACAGAGGCAGCACCCCTGGCATCCACAGATTCAGAACCAGCAGCAGTAGAAGGACGTGGCATGCCATTGCCAGCTGGACTGCCAGCTGGACAGCGAGCAGGGCTGGTGTGGCCTGGGCTACAGCCGGTGGAGCTGCGCGGGCTACAGCTGGGGTCGTCGGTATGTGAAGCAGAGGAAGGTTCCAGGAAGGCGATGCGGAATAGGACCTCGAGGCGCTCTGGAGTGAACCTTGCCGCGGCTCGTGTGCTGCAGGGAGGTGATACATTTGGTTCGGTTGGCAGGGAGGGGAGGTGAAGGACGATGAAGGAGAAGAATGAACGGGGTTTGGGGAGACGGAGAGATAGGCACTCTGGAGTGAACCTTGCTGCAGCTCGTGTGCTGCAGGGAGGTGATACACCGGGTTGCGACGGGGGTGTAAATGGTGACAAAGGGGAAAACGAAGCGGGAGGTTTTGAGCATAAGGAGGGGACAGGCAGCAGGCACCCAGCCCAGGGAGTATGAACAGTGTTGCGGATTTCTGTGCTGGGAGAAGCAAATGTGTCATATAGCCCACATTGTGCTGCATAAGCCACACAGCGCTCACCTGTAGCGCAGCAGCAGGCTCTGGAGCTCGAAGCTCAAGTCGTCCACCACCGTGCGCTGCAGGGATATTGCTTGCTGCTGCAGCTCCAGCCACTCCGTGGCACCCGAGACAGCCCCAGTCGGTGGATCAGTAGCAGAGGCAGTAGAAGAACCAGGAGAGGCAGCAGCAGGGGAAGCAGCAGAAGGGGCGGCAAGCGCGTGGTTGACACGGGAGGCTACGTCCTCCAGCAAGCCTGCTGATGCCAGATAATCCTGCAGCTCGTCGCCTGCTCCTGATGCAATGCCTGCTTCTGCCTGCACAGTAACCGGATTTTTTTTTTACATTGATAAATATATATATGTATGTATATATGAATGTATCTTCGTTATAGGAATGCATACCACGTGAGTGTGTACAGAAAGGTGGCGTAGCAACCTATTCGAGTCTACGCTGCCAACTGTGGGAAACCGAGTAGGTGCTGCCAGAGGCATGGTGGAAATAAATTCTCGTAAGAAGGATATCACGAATTATTTACTTATCCTCTCAAACAAGGAACGGATTAGCCTGGACTGCATTGAACCGGAATAGATGCGCCTGAAGTTTATAGGCAAGCTGTTTCTGGCGTTGTAACGGCTGCTTGCCGGCCGCTCGCTGGCAAAAGCACTTATTCTCGAAACTCGCCTTTGCGGATAGTAAACGTGAGTAAACAGCTAAGCGCCGATAGATTTCGCCGTTGGATTTCTTACTTGGCGTAGCATTCTCCGGCATAGCTCTGACGTCCAACCCATGGTTTCGCCTGCAGGGACTTGGCGAGAACCATTTTTGTCGCCACTGGTGGCGCTGCGATTGGCAGTCGCAGTCGCACGTCCACGGCGCACGGTACGATCAGCCATTGCGACCGGAGTCTAGAAAGATTGTTGGATTGGCTCTTACTCCCTCTGCTCGCATTTTTCCGACTACATCAGAAGCACACGCAGGACCTTTACGCAAGAGCAACCAACGAAGAGCTTTTTTCACAAACCTTCTACGGTAATTTAATTAATGCTTGGAAACCCCACTACCAGCCTAATGAGGAAAGACAGCAAGTCAGAAACGGTAGTGCAAATTCTTCCGCTGGTTCCCCAAATGGGACGAGTCAAGGGAGTTGAGAAATGTAGTGCAGTCCGCAGGTGTTGCATTTTCACAACTCCCTGGCAAGTCAGGGGAAGGGGGGGGGTTCCAGTGCGTCTGTTTACACATCCTTCGTGGCTCAGAACATTTTCACACGGTGAACAGCAGGTTTCTAAATTCACCGTTTTGCACCGTGACGCAACAAGTTTGACCGCACAGACCGAACAAAATCTATACACGTGGTGGATACGGCCTGACTTCGTTCGGCGGCACCATCAAGGGCTGCAGCGTGAAGCTGATAGATGTTGGGCTGAGAAAGCTAAGGATATTTGCAGAGGATGACTCCAGGAAAGAAACTTTGTAATAGCGGAAGCGTTTAATGAAACTTGTGAATCGACCTTGCACTAGTGTGTGAGAGCAAAGTGGATTCACAAGTTTCATTAAACGCTTCCGCTATTACAAAGTTTCTTACCCTGAGTCATCCTCTGCAAAGATCCTTAAGGGCTTTCTCAGCCCAACATGGTATCAGAGCAAGAGTTCCAATCCTTGGAACCTGCGATAATTTCTACAAATGGGCCCACGACCTGAATCATCACCAGGAGCATCTTCAGGAGCAGGTTCGACCTGCCACTTCCCACGGAGCATTACGTGGAGGAAATCTTCAACACACCGTCGCATCATTTTGGGCGACTCAGCAAAACGAATTTCAAGGAGTTACAGCAAAGTCCCTGGAAATGACTTCACAACTTCAACCCGGCAAGATTGCAGCTCTCCTCGTTTCTACACTTCTAACAGTGGAGGGGGGTGTTGAGAATATGTTTGTATGCTTTTATTATAAGTGCACTGTTCGAAGTGTGTTTACAGGGGCTCGCCATAGCGAGGGATTTGAACCTGGTGGCGAGTCAACGGGCCGCAACCGAACACAGCGGTTGCGACCCGCGTGGCAGCTCAAGAGTCGAATCGACAGCAGGAGTCATCGTCTACAGTACGCGAAACTGACCTGCGGGGCGCGGCAGGATACCGCGCCCTTGCCGAAGCTGAAAAGTCTCGCCAGCGCGACTGTAACAAGGCAACTCAAGCGACGCAGCGCAGCTGTTATACAGTTGCGCCCTATGCGTTTGCTATATGATAGAATGTAATTCCTTGCTCATATTACACAATTCTCAAGCTTGTGTCCGGCCTACCCTCGGCCGCTGCTTTGGCACCACGTTGCAAGCCAGGAGAGCTACCTCTGAGTGACCAATAGCCTCGCCGTAGGGACGTCGTTAATTCATAGAGCTTCCGCTGCGCTCTAGCGACTTCTTATTTCCAACAATAGAAAACCCCAACAAGTGTTAGCGAAATAACTACATATCTTATGAAAGAAAGTGAGAAAATCTTCCAAGATAACATATCATAACTACGTTACCACATTAAGAATAAAAAATCTATTATCACAGGATTTCTCTTCATACGTCTCCTTTTCTTTCAGGCATAGTGTCAAGGAATATACCGGGCATGTATTCAACAATTGTTGCAACTTTTGTAAGTGGGATTTGTACATACATTACCCGATTACGAGTGTATAGGACAATGCGAATCGTCAAGCCGACTCGTCAAAACTTTCACCATTCCCGCCAAGATGACGACGACGAGTGCATGGATGGATGATGATGATGATGATGATGAACGATCTGTCTCCATCCCGTGCCACTCAACGACTATGTCACCTAAGTGTTTGTTTGTTTGTTTGTTTGTTTTTTTTTTTTGGGGGGTGAAATATGCACTATACACGTACAATGCAAAAAACACCACGGTCGTAACCGGTGCTAGAGGGCATAGGTAGTATATACTACTGTACCCTCCCAGATCTCTACGGAGGCTTATAGACCAAACGCCTAAACATTTCAGCTTGCCCGCCACAAAAACCTATTGTGCCGTTGTCACACTTCAGTACTTGCAGAAGCATCTCGATACATTCCTCATGTTGGTTTTGTCGCTTTAGCTTTGGTGGCTTGGCTCCTCCGAACCTGCCTTCCCTGGTCTGGTGAGGTTGGTTTGCGACAGAAGCAGCTCTGGGTCGCCGCTGCTGAACAAGGCCTTGGTGTCGATTACCTAAGTGCTTGTTGAAACCGCATGGGAGGCTCGGAAGATACGAAAAAGTGCCATCACGGAGAGCAATAACTCTGTTCAAAAGACAGCACGAACCATGAAAAGTGCCATCGGAAGGAGCCCGGCCACGCACTCTAGTTTTAGGGCGGCTGATACGCATTCTGTACTGAGTTCAGTACTATGTTTTCCTCCATGTCGTTTGTCGGACCATCAAGCCCAGGCATTCATAGTTGTTTGCACACTGCGATTGCCTTGAGTCTAGTGCCTGAAAGCCAGAGTCTGAAGTGCCATTCTTCTTCTAACTCGTTTAGACATTGTTAGACCGCGTCAAATTGCTCTAAACATACACGTGGATTACGAAACGCGACCTCATAGTGTGTGTAGTTTGCCGTACTTCCCATTGTTCCCTCTGGTCGTAGTGCTAACAGAGCAACAAGGACACCGTCGTCAGGGGTAGCGAAAAGTCGTTTGGTTCGACGCTAGCGTCGCGAGGTCTTCGCAACGCTGGAGTTGGCTGAATCCTTTCACCGGTTTCCAGATTCAATCCAAGCCGTCAGAGTTGGTAGAACAGAGCTGTCTAGGGTAGTGTTTTCAGAGTCAACAGGGATGGTGAAAGTCGGCTGATTCGTTACTCAGCGCGTCGTCAGGAATTCCATTACCAAGCCTTATCACCGCTGGATCTTGCTGGATCCGTTCCCTTCCCTAACTCAGAGCTCGAGATTACAGGCTCCGCAGAAGGTTAAACCCACTCACGAGGGTATCTGAAGGCGTGCGGTGCGGTTGACGCCGTTCTACCACGTCTGTGAGGCGCTTCGCAATGATAGATTACGATTCCGTCACTTCTAAACTATTTTGTATTATATTCCTCGTGGTTCCATAGGTTACTATTCCTTACAGACCGATTGTTCAGCCTGACTATTCGGAGTGACTGCTCAGGCTGACTGTTCTAGAAACTAACAGACACCATGGGACCGTCAGCCATGGACGCTCAACTTCATGGCGTCACCTTTCCTCGCGCGTCGTTACCCGCATCCGCGCACTCGTTCGGTTCAGCCCAGGTCGACACCAGGGTCGGCCCAGCCCAGATCGATCCCAGGATCGGTTCGGCCTCAGCTTCATCCGGTGCGACCCTGCGGTCGCCTGGCGACGGGGCGTCAGCATCGCAACGTGATTTCGAGATGCGAGAGCTGTTTCGAGAGTACTCGAGTAAGGTTTACCAGCGTTTACCAAAACCCTTGCGCGAAAGCTACTTCTTCTCGCCTTCACATCCCCTTGCGTTCGGTTTGTTAGCTTGAGATGAAACCTTCCTTCACGCCAAGTTCTTAATCCTTCCACTCGCCGACCCTATCTGCCAGACCTATTCAACATCTGTATTCCACTTTGTCTGGTCCGTTGTGGTGGCTCTCTGTTTTGTGGTAATCTCGTTCTTATGTAGTGCGTTTCCACCTCGTCCCCTCATTCCCTTGTCCCCTCGTCCCCCTCATCCTGTCAGGCATCTTGGCGTCAAGCGACACGGCAGCAGCCATCAAGGCAAGGCTAGCAGCCGTCTCTACACATGCAATCATTCTCTATGCCATCTCTATGGCTCATAAGAACTCCGCTTTTGTCCCCTCGTCCCCTTTTTTGCCCTTCCGGTCAGGCATCTTGGCGTCAAGCGACACAGCAGCAGCCATCAAGGCGAGGCTCGCAGCCATCTCGGCGTGTGCAAGCTCGCAAGGCCTCACAGGGTGCGTTACCGCGTGCCTGCGTTACTGCGTGCCTGCGTTACCGCGTGCCTGCGTTACCACTTACGTGCGCTACTGCTTGCTTGCATTGCTGCTTGCCTGCGTTAACGTATACCTGGGTTCTGCTGCGTCACCCGTTGTTTTCACCTTGTTACTATTAGTCTGCTCTGCCTGTCATTATCACTCAAGACCAGACTCAAGCGCCCCTCAGAAAGAGTTTCTTTCTTAGGGCGCCTCAAGAGTAGACTCAAGGGCGTGGGATCCACGTACGTGGTGCCATGCGGTGGAATAACTGATGTGTAACGACTGATTCGCGGTGACTTCTGAGTCAACTCAAAAGTCACCTCGCAAGAGTAGACTCAAGAGCGTGGGATCCACGAACGTGGTGCCATGCGGTGGAATCACCTGTAAAGACTGACTCGTTATCTGTCAACGTCTCACCTGCTGATTCCTCCTGTCCTCTCCACTTTTATCTCCTCCCCACCCCTCCCGTCCTTCTCCCTCCCCACACCTGTCCCCCTCTCCCTCCCCACCTCTCCCCTCCCTCTCCTTCCCCACCTCTCCCCTCCCTCTCCCTCCCCACTCCTCCCCTCCCTCTCCCTACTCCTCTCCTTTCCTTCCTTCTGTTCCACCTCCTCCCCTCTGTGCAGAGCTATGTCCCTTCCCAGTCTCCACAGATTACGGCAGTCACTGAGTGATCAGGTTGGTAAGCAGTGTTTGTGTGCCATACTGACGAGGTGACTTCTGAGTTAACTTAAAGTCACACTGGCTGCGTTAGATGCTGAGTTGATAACAAAACGTTTTTTTTTTTTTTTTTTTTTTTAAATTTACGATTGTCTGTCAAAGTATGTGGGAGGTGAGTT